TTTTGATGGCCCTGAGATATGTCACCATTCTCCATTTACCTAATTTTTTCTTAAGCACAAATACAGGAGAATTCCAAGGGCTGGTAGATTCTTCTATATGTTCAGCATCTAATTGTTCTTGTACCAGCTGTTCTAAAGCCTGTAACTTTTCCTCAGCTAAAGGCCATTGCTTTGTCCATATTGGTTTCTCAGTCAACCATTTTAGAGGCAAGGCTGTTGGTATCTCTGAAGGGACATCAATTGCTTGTTCTTGTACAGCCCGAATGGCCGGTTTTCTCCGTTTATCATATCTTTTAATATTCTCAGAAATATAGGCTCTAGAAGTAGCGGGAATGTTAATTTCAGTATTCCATTGTTGTAATAGGTCACGACCCCATAAATTCATTGCAATATTGGCTACATATGGCTTTAATTTTCCTATTTGTCCCTCTGGCCCTATACTTTCAACCCATCTCGTGCTCTGCCTTACTCGAGATAGGGTTCCAATTCCCAGGAGCTGAACATTTACATTCTCAAGAGGCCAATACGGATGCCAAGATTCTGGGGTAATGATACTTACATCAGCACCTGTGTCCAGCAGGCCAGTAATAAAAATGCCATTTACACACACTCTCAATTTAGGTCATTGATCATTTATAGAAGTTTGCCAAAACACACGTAACTTATCTTTCTGATCATTATTGCTTGTAACAGTAGGCATGGGGCTTCCTAATTGTCCTGAAGAGGCACATTCTCTGCAGAAACTGTGAATGACTGAACCATGTTTGCCATGGGGGCCTCTGAAGCCCCCCCTTTCACATTTCCTGACTGTATCGGGTTGCCTTGTCTATCTCTTGTAGACCTGCATTCATTCGTCCAATGTCTGCCCTTTCCACATCTTCTACATAAACCTGAAGGCTGAGTCCTCCTATTTCTGTTATTTCTAGAAGATGCATTATTAATATTATTATTTCTGAAAGATGCATTATTATTATTATTTTTATTATTATTATTATTATTTCCGAAAATCCGTTGTCTGCAATTCCTTTTCCTATGACCCATTTTGACACAATTAAAACATTTGGTATTCTGGTGTCTCCTTTTACCATTGGAAATTGCTTCTTCTACCCATGCTTCAGTGCCATAATCAAATGTATCAACATTGAGTGTATGCAAGACCCATTCTTCCAAAATCCTTTTGCATTCCACATTTGCATTTTCATAAGCCAAAGACTCAATCATTATACGTCTTGCTTCTGGGTCAGATATTCCTATTTTACAGCCTTAGTTAATCTTTGTAAAAAGTCACTAAAGGGTTCTCTCTGACCCTGTTTAACTCTGACAATTGATTCCATTCTCTGTCCTGGGTCTTGTACCCTGTCCCAAGCCCTTAAGGCTGCTGTAGTACACATGGAGAGTGTGTTTTCATCCAAATTAGCTTGTTCCTGAGGGTCAGAAAAGAACCCTTCACCTAGAATTTTATCTAGGGAAATGTCAATTCCCTTCGTCTTTTCCTGCTGTTCTAAAATTCTAGCCTCTTGCCTGAATAAGCATTTCCATTTCAATTGTGGTCCACTCTCAAGTACCGCAGAGCTCAGCTGGAGCCAGTCCGAGGGGGTTGCTCTGCTTGTTATGGCCCAAGATCTTAGCATCTCTTTAACAAAAGAGGCTTGCATCCCAAAAGTCATGACAGCCTGTTTTATTTCCTTGAGGTCATTCATACGGACAGGCTCCCATGTATCCTCCTTGATGACTATAGGGTTTTTGGAACCAATCACCTTCTCTGTTGTTATTACTGGAAAGGCAGGTAGAGCTGTAGGTAGAGCTTTGTGGAAATTGTTCCGGAGAGATTTACCCATAGATGTAGTTAAAATTTGCCTTTCTACCCTTTGCTCTTCTTCATCAGAATTTAGAAATTCCTCAATCTTTTCAATTCTATTCACCATTGCCTTCTGCAATGTCTGAATCTCCTGTCCAGAATTATGTTCCAAAGCCTTCATTGAGGATTCTAAAGTATGAAGTTTGTCTTTTAGAGACAACATGTCATCTTTGGACATAATTTTTATGGCATAAACCGTGCCTTCTTGTATTGACAAGCTTTCCGCCAATCTGTCATAAGCTTTAGACAAAATCCGATTGTCACATTCAGCAGTTTTGATTCTCTCAGTTAATGTTTCATTTCCTACAGAAAGGGACTGAATCTTATGGTCCAAATCAGCTGTTCCCTCTTCCATAGTAATGAATTTCTCCTTAATATCAGCCACTAATGGTTCAGTTCCTACAGAAAGGGACTGAAGCTTATGATCCAGATCAGCTGTTCCCTCTTCCATAGTAATGAATTTCTCCTTAATATCAGCCACTAATGTTTCAGTTCCTACAGAAAGGGACTGAAACTTACAATCCAGATCAGCTGTTCCCTCTTCCATAGTAATGAATTTCTCCTTAACATCAGCCTGGAGAACTTCAAACTGATTCTTGAGAAGATTGTTATCAGCCTGGAGAACTTCAAACTGATTCTTGAGAAGATTGTTGTCATTCTCAATTGTTTTTAAGCATTCAATCTCTGCCTTAAGAATCATGGATTCAGGGCTGGAGAGATGGCTCAGTGGTTAAGAGCATTGCCTGCTCTTCCAAAGGTCCTGAGTTCAATTCCCAGTCACCACATGGTGGCTCACAACCATCTGTAAAGAGGTCTGGTGCCCTCTTCTGGCCTGCAGACATGCATGCACACAGAATATTGTATACATAATAAATAAATATTTAAAAAAAAGAATCCTGGAATCATCTCATAAAGACTTTATCATATTTCTATTATCAAACCATTTGGTGCCAATGAAAACTACGAATCCCAGAAGGATCCATAGATGTGGGGTGATAGACACCTCTTGTAAAATCTCCCACATGCTACAATTAAAAAAAACTGTTAAATTCTTGAATACTAATGTGTTCAGACATTTTATTTATAAAAGAAAATTTTTTTACCTGCAATGATCGGTTACTGCCAGTGGTGGTCTCTGTGTTTTTGGAGCCTGTCCTAGAACTAGCTCTGTAGAGCAGGGTGGCCTCGAACTCACCCTGGTCAGGTACCAAAGCCACAGAGAAACCATGTCTCGAAAAACAAAAAACAAAACTAAAATAGTTGTGCCCAAGAACCAGGCCCATCAACTCAAGGACTGATGGAATACCCACAGCCAACTGTTCACAAGAGGCTGAGACTACCAAGTGTGTTGGCTTTGGCACTAAGAATGTCCTTGGTCGGATCAACTGTTTTAAAGTAAGAGATTCTCTGTAAAGGGGGCTGGAGAGATGGCTCAGTGGTTAAAAGCATTGCCTGCTCTTCCAAAGGTCCTGAGTTCAATTCCCAGAAACCACATGATTGCTCACAACCATCTGTAATGAGATCTGGCGCCCTCTTCTGGCATGTGGGCATATATGGAGGCAGAATATTGTATACATAATAAATAAATCAAAAAAATATTATGTATAAAAAAAAACAGAGATCCGCCTGCCTCTGCCTCCCGAGTGCTGGGATTAAAGGCGTGCGCCACCATCGCCCGGCCGGCCTCAAACTCACAGAGATCCACCTGCCTTTGCCTCCCAAGTGCTGGTATCAAAGGCTTGCGCCACCACTGCCCAGCCAAGTCACTTTTTATCAGACCAAATCTGCCGCTGTGGCAGCTTTTGTTGCAAAACCGCAGGTACTTGAGTTTCTGCTAATTCAAGCAGTGGGGTTCCGCTGCAAACTTAGCCAAGGCAGGCAGAATGGGCCTGTGTGGCCGAGTATGTCTCGGACTCGGCACTGGGGCCGGAGTCACGAACTAAAAAACAGCACCCGGGAGGGTGCTGTGTTAGCTAGCGGGCAACCCGCTTGAGTCGGGGCAAAAATAGCCCACGTTGGACGCCAAAATGTAACGGCTTAAACGAATGCAGACAGATTATAACAATATAACAATATAACTATATAACTATATATATATATATATATATAGCTTTAATGTCAAAATAGACTTACAGAACCACCGTTCCAGCAGAGACCAGGAAAGCAGAAGCGACAGCTTGGAGCTCGCTCACCAAATTTATAGGCAGACATTAGTCCAAGGCGAACACGCCCCCCAAGAGGCGGGACTTATCTCTACACAGAGGCGTTATGTAGGGCTGGGTTGAAAGCCTCTGTCTAATAGCATCCGCCTGACCCCCAGTTCGGGGGGCACCTAGCCAGGGGCTGTCCTCCCTTACTCTAGCCTTGCATGTACTTGGTATTAACCGAGACGCGGAGAGCGAGTCTCGCTCGGGGGTCAGAGAAGGAGGAGAGTGACCGGTCCTGGGCTGTTCCTGCATACCCGGCGGCCACCAGAACTCCAGCCCTAGGGAGTGGGCAGGGCCTCTAGCCGCCTCTCTCCCTGCTTTCCTCTCCTTCAGCGTTGTCTACTAGCTACTTTTCCTGCTCTCTCTCCCAGGAGACGAACGTTTGAGCCTGAGATGGCAGCCACCCTGCTCATGGCTGGGTCCCAGATCATACTTAATGCCAATGCCTTCTCGACATTTCTAACCATGTCTCTAATTTCAAGAAGAAAGGCTGGGACTAAACTCCTAGATGCTAAGTAGTGAGGAAGCATTGTGTGATTTCAGGCCCCTGTGACATTTGAAGATATGGCCATGTACCTCACTCAGGAAGAATGGAGACCTCTGGATCCTACACAAAGAGACCTTTACAGGGACGCGATGCAGGAGAATTACGGAAATGTTGTCTCACTGGACTTTGAGATCAGGAGCGAGAACGAAACAAATCTGAAAGAAGAGCTTAGTGAAGATGTGGAGTTTGTGACCATGTCCGAAGAGCCTATTGGGGATGCTGAGAAGAACCTGGAAAGCGAAGACGTCTTTGAAAGTGGGGACAGGTGCGAAAGACAGTGGGGAGAGCTGACCGCAGAGGAGTGGGTCAGCTCCCTCTCCAGCAGGTCACTGACCTGCTGGCCCACAAAGAAGTTCACACAGGCATCCGCTATCACATATGTTCTCAGTGTGGGGAGGCCTTCAGTCAGATTTCAGACCTCAATCGACACCAAAAAACGCACACGGGACACAGACCCTACAAGTGTTACAAATGCGGCAAGGGCTTCAGCCGCAGCTCCCACCTTATCCAGCATCAGAGAACACACACGGGCGAGCGGCCCTACGACTGCAACGAGTGCAGGAAGAGCTTTGGAAGGAGCTCTCACCTCATTCAGCACCAGACAATCCACACCGGGGAAAAGCCATACCAGTGCAACGAGTGCGGGGAGAACTTCAGCCGCATCTCGCACTTGGTCCAGCACCAGCGGACGCACACGGGAGAGAAGCCTTACGAGTGCACGGCCTGTGGGAAAAGCTTCAGCTGCAGCTCCCATCTGATCACACACCAGAAAATTCACACCGGGGAGAAGCCTTATGAGTGTAACGAGTGCTGGCGAAGCTTCAGGGAGAGGTCAGATCTGATTAAGCACCAGAGGACTCACACGGGAGAAAAGCCCTACGAGTGTGTGCAGTGTGGAAAGGGGTTTACACAAAGCTCCAACCTCATCACCCATCAAAGAGTTCACACGGGAGCGAAGCCTTACGAATGTACCGAGTGTGACAAGAGTTTCAGCCGGAGCTCAGCTCTTATTAAACACAAGAGAGTCCATACCGACTAAGTCCTGTATTCCTGAGTAAGAAATGACTTGTGGAGGTACAGTTATATTTGATTTGATATCAGTGAGCTTCGTTTAGACTGACTTTCCTTATTGTTGGCCACGTTTTCAAACATGGAAGAATATGACCCCTTTGAAATTCCGACCCACAGCGTTGGGGAAATTTTCTCCTTCTCCAAAATTGTTTTCTTCACCGATTTTATTACATGAATTGCTTCCATCAGAAGCAGCCCCCATTCCTAGTAACTTGAAAGCTGAAGACCAGAGGACAAGATGCTGGTGGATGCTTAGTCCTGGAAATGGAGTAGGTTTTTCAAAAGTTGTTTTTTCCTCTCGTATCTTTGGCCCCAAAAGACTGTAGTGGGAATGTAGAACTGGACTAGGGTGGATGCAGCTGCTCTGGCAGAAGGCAGGCAGACTTGTCCTGGGTAGCCACTGTTCACACACCGAAGTGGCCAGGCTCATGCACTTCCCTTCCAAAGGGCTTTTTCCTTGAGTAGCTCATATTGGTACCTTGCCATCTTGCGCACAGGATTCTGCACGCTGAAGGCAGTGACTGAATCATTTCCCTTGTTTCTCACTTGTATATAGCTTGCATGCTTTTGAAAGCTACCCGAAGACACAGTGTGAAAGGAGAAGGGTACAAGGTTGAGGACCAAGGGCCCTTGGGTGGTGGTGACCTTAGCAAGAGATACCCATTGATGCTGTCATTAATCAGGTTTATGAATTGTCTTCAGAAATCACTTTAGAGATGGCAGTGTGGAAACTGCCTTTAGGAAAGGACAGGACGGCAGGTGATGATGGAAGGAGTAGAAGTGGGTTGACTCCTTCAGGGAAGGGAGCACCGAGCCCTTCCCAGGGAGCGACAGTCATTTCTGTGTCCTTTGCCATCTAACTTTAACAGTTAGGTCACTCGCCCTTGTACTGCTAACTCTAGGGTTTGATAGGGCCACGCCCCAGTCTTTATCATAGCTCGCTTAAAGGAATGTGTATGTATAGTGAAGTGTGTATTCTAATAGCAGAGACCGAATTCCTAAGAATCAGCATGTTCTTACGTGATGTAGACCATAAGATAGAACTGTAGGCATACTCCATGTGAGAGAATTCCTTATTTTTCTTGTGTTATGGGAAAGAATTTGAACACTAGTGCGCAGGCATGCACTCTCCTGTAAGGCTTGGTTTTGTACAGAACTAAACTCTTGCTCATATGTGTCCATCAGTTGTGAGACAATGACTGGACAGTTAGGTCCTTTGCCCTTTCTCAGACTGAGTTATCTTCTCCTGTGATGAAACCTCTTTGGCCTCATCAGAAGAAATGTATAAGCCTAAAGAGGAGTGTGTTTCCCGCCTCCAGGTACAAAGAGTTACAGTGAGAGTTGCCCAGTGTCGCCCAGTATCTCAGTTCTCTTTATCTCAGCCCAGGCAGGAATTATGAGTAGCCCGGATATTGGTGCTTACTTCATCCCGTGGGGATGGAAGGGGATGGGGCCCAGTGCATTTTATGGTGCTTAGTGCAGACTTGCAAATGTTAACATGTTTTTTTTTCAAGAAACCTTTTTTTTTTTGCAGGGGTGGGGATTGGGGGTGGCACATGCCTTTAATCCCAGCACTTGGAAGGTAGAGGCTGGCAGATCTCTGTGAGTTCAAGGCCAGCCTGGTTTACAGGATCGAGTTCCAGGACAGCCAGGGCTACACAGAGAGTCCTTGTCTTGAAAAAACAAAAATTTTTTTTTTGTTGAAGTTCTTTGGGATTTGGCATTTAGTGCTTTCACTACAGAGTCACTGTGAGCGCAGCTGGGTGACACCTACCGTGTCATTCACTAGTGACAGCCTCAAAAGCAACCAAATGAAAAGCACTCCGAGTGGCCCCTCCCATTTGAGCATGAACTTGGGGCAGGCACGTGGTTTCTATTCTGTACGGCATCTAGCCTGCTGTGGGTATTCACATTTTACCCATTAGGTGACTTATGTATCCTTGGTAACTAAACTCAGATATGGCATCTGTATGTAGCCAATGACTTCGTTGAGTCATTGTAAGTGTCTGCTTGGGAGTAGCTTGTAGAAGACAGCACCTCTGATCCAACTTCATTTTACCCCTTTCTCTACCTGGTCCCCATCCCCCCAGCCCTGCAACACCACCTCCAGCCTAAAGGTTTTGCTAGTGTGCCATTTGCTGCTTTTGCCTTGTAAAAGAAAGGCTCAGGGAGGGTCTCTGATTGTCTTCCCATCTCCCCATATCTGTCTGCGCCAGCTGAGTGCCCTCCCTCCTGCAGTCATCCGCTGCCCACTCCCAGTGCTGAGCTCTGTGGAAGTCATGCCTTTGTCACACTTCACCAATGCTGTTTGCAGGCCCCTGGCTGCTCCTGCACATACCCAGACACTCTGTGCCTGTGTTCTGTGGTTGTGGAGAGCGGATCCCGTTGGTATTGGTCAGTTATCCTAGTGTCTTGTCTATGGCTGTATTATCCTAACAATATTCTATAATTAAAGGTATAATTTTAAAGTAAAAAAAATAAAAATGGCATTCCAATGTGTGGCCAAAATTTTCAGATAAAATCTGAAATACCTTGGAAAAGGAATCTAAACACAAAACTACATAGTTAAATGCAGCTTCATGTTCATGAGGCTGAAAAGAAGGCTCAGCTCTTAGAACATTGGTGACTCATCCAGAGAATCTTTGATACCCAGCACCCACAAGACAGCTCACAACTGCCTGTACCTCCAGTCACAGGAGAGTAGAAACTGTCTTCTGGTTATCACTAGTACCTGAGATACACTTGCTACACTCACTGGTCAAACTCCTACATCTAGATTGAATTTCATTCCTTTTTAAGTTAACAGACACATGAAGAAAACCTATTTAAAATATAGAATCAAATACAGATCTGTCTTTTCAGTATTTGCCCATTTTGTACCCTAAGAGCCCAGAAGAATGCACCCATCTCCAGGACCTCCAATTACAGGGAGTTCTGTCCAATCAGATATGGTACTATGAGTCAAACCTGGGTACCCAAGAGGAGCAGTACTCCTGAGACAACTCTCCAGGTCCCACATGTGTCATAATTCTTAAGGGAGAGAAGTCACACTGTTCCTTCTGTCTCTCATCATTTGAAGAATAAAGTCCACTCTAGATGGTTGTCAAAGATTCAATGGATGGAATGTGAATGGAATTTGTATATTGCTTCTTATTTTCATTGTTAAGACAGTTCTCTTTATGTGAGGGAATATTTAAAATGTTGGTTGAAATCAGTCTGACTCCAGGCAGATTTTATTAGGAAAACTTCCATAATTTGGGAGTCTTTGTCTTTTGTGATCTTTTTGAGATAGGATATGTCCATGTGGCCGTTGATGCCAGGTATGCATTATGTGGAACAAGCTGGCATCAAACTCACTGAAATTGGACCCACCCACACTCCGTGTTCTGTGATTAGAGCCATGCACCTCTATGTTGAGCTGAAATGTTTGTAAAGGACTTATTGAGTAAAAGAAAACATAATGAAAGACTTAAAAAGGAACATCATTGTTTTGATAAATAACAATATTTCTTCAAATTGTATAATTTAAATGGCCAAATAATTTCATATGTTCAAAATGAGTCATTGTTATTGCATTGTCAATTCCATCCATTTAAAAATGTTTGAAGTGTGCTTTTGTGAATACACCTGCACCATGATGTGCATGTAGCACAGATAGGAAAATTAACAGGGGTCTATGATCTACTTCCATTTTGTGAGTTTTAGTCCTTAAACTTAGGGAGTCATTTGACTGCAAATACACTGAAAGACACTTCCTTTCATTTAAAAATTATTTGTGAATGAGATGATGTAGGAGTGTGTATAAGTAACTGATGAAGTCAGCAAATATGAAAAAATTTGTAAGAGTTTTAGGGTAAACAAGATATGGAAGCCAGGTTATCAGACTTAGAGGCAATGAACTTTAATAAATGATGCAACTTTCTGGCATGTAATTTTGGTTTTGAGCAAGTATAAATACATGTCTTGTTCTCAGAATGAAGAAATTAAAAAAATCTGTGCTGGTAAGAATATTTTCACATGCATAGCGGATTGACTATTCAAATTTTCCCATGGTCCTCTATTATTGTATGAAATTGCATTTACAATTTGAAAAGAAAATAAGACTCTACTGTTGTAATATTTCTTCTAATTGAATTTGAGCACCAATGAGATGACTCAGTGGGAAAGGACTCTTATGGGCAAGACTAGAATCCCAACCTCGATTACATCTTGAACTTTCCAGGCAAATGGATGGAGCTAAAAAACATCATTTTGAGTGAGGTGACCCAGACACAGAAGACAATTATCACATGTACTCAGTCATTAAGTGGGTTTTAATCATAAAGCAAAGAAAACCAGCCTACAAATCATAGCACCAGAGAACTTAGACAACATGAGGACACTAAAGAGGCATACAAAGTTCTAATATACATGCGAATAGAAAAAGACAAGATCTCCAGAGTAAATTGGGAGGATGGGGCCTTGTGATAGTATTGAAGGGAAGGGAGGACGCAGGAGGGGAGCAGCAAAAAAAAATGTAGAGCTCAATAAAGATCAAAAAATTTTAAAAGAAAAGAACATTAAGCTATGGTGTCAGATAAACAGTTGATTGCTGATTATACTTCTTTATTACATCTATAAAACATGAATGAGAATACTTCTTTGAATACACATAAGATATTTAATGTTTCTTATTATTTATTTTATCAGTCATTTAATGTGAATATTATCAAATTCTGTTGAAAAACCACACACATTTGGAGTTCATCATCGAACCTTGGACTTGTATACAGGGGGCAGACATATGAGCACCATGAGTTCAAATTATCCCTAAATTTTTACTGATATCCAAGCTAGGATTAATAACAAACAAAAGCTGAAGGGAATTTCTGAAAAGATAAAAATCAAAACCAGAAACAACCCAAAACATTTACTCAAAAAGTATGTTCCCACATGGCCTGACACTTCAATAACCAATGGGAAACAAGTATGATGGGTTTACCATTCTATACATTATAGCAGAAAAATACCCATCACTTGGTAAAGGCACAATAAAAGATAAACAAAATCCATAGAAGTAATATAAAGACTACAAAATAGAATTCACTAAATGGATTTGCCACACATATAGCTCACTTTAGTACATACTTCAAATATTTCAATGTAGAAACCACAATGCAATGATCTCCACCAGTCTTGATTAACCATGGTATGTAATTTACTTCCTTCAAGGTTATGATAAAAATTTTTACTTAAAGCTAAAGAAAACTGTGAAAGAAATTAACCAATTGTTGTCATGAATTGAACTTTCTTTTTTTAAGAGTGTGTTCCTATTTCCAGATTTCAAAAAGATATAAATAGACTTAAAATATATGAGGCACTAGTGTCATGCCTAGGTGAGAACTAATGTCAGATGTTTGACAGCTTCCTGTAATTTCTTCTGCAATAATATCCAAGGTATTATCTTTATGTGGATACAGAATGCACATTCAAATACACACAAGACACACACACATACATTACATAACTAAAATGAACACAACTTTTAAGACAGTTTTTCACTCATGAACACTTTTCTCCTGTAAACATTCATTCATTTCTGTAAAAGAGGAGCTGAGAGTCATTGTACAGCTTACTTACCCAATGAATTTGTTCATGTAAAAAAAAGCAAACTTAGACTTGAAGTAAAAGAAATTAATTCTTCTAAGAAAGTTTTCCAGGCTGGGCAGTGGTGGTGTACAACTTTAATCCCAGCACTTGGGAGGCAGAGGCAGGTGGATCTATCTCTGTGAGTTAGAGACCAGCCTGGTCTACAAGAGGTAGTTCCAGGACAGGCCCCAAAGCTACAGAGAAACCCAGTCTCAAAAAACAGAAGAAAAAAAAACAAAAACCAAAAAAAAGAAAGTTTCCCAGTAGAAATATCTGGTGCTGATCTCCTCTACTCCCAAGGGAATATTTCATAATATATGTCGAATTCCTCTGTCATCTTCTGAACTAGTTCCCAAACAGAGGCATCAATTGTACCTTGGCTCAACTCCAGGAGTTTCTGAAACATTCCAGTAAAAGAGGTATTCACATAAATCTTGAATCAGATTTATTTGAGAAGGAAGAAAACATGAGTATGAATACCTCTGCAAAGTGTGGAAAGGGACAGCTGTATACTGAATGAGCATATGGCTCAAATAGGACTTCTTAATAACAGAGAGCAAAGGAGATTTTGATGGTGGGAATTTGCTGGATTTCAATCCCTGATCCTGAAAAAGCTCAGGGATGGGCTTGATTTTATGCCGAGCGATTCGTTGCTTTTGTGCTCAGTTGGACAAGGATAGAGTTTGTTTTTATGGATCTGATTTGAGAGCCAAATTGTGTGTCAACTTTACTGGCCCCTTTTAATGTTGGCTCTTTTCAGAGAGATGTTGTTTCATAAACTACTTCTAGATTCAGAGACAAGGTACTTTCTTTTGGCTCTGGTTTCAGGACCAATATATGTTTCTTTGAATACCCTTTCTCCAACCATTAATGCTTCATAAAATGTTTGTCCATTAGTTTGCTACTTCAAACTAAAGTAATAAGAGGTATCATGATGCTTGAACAAATTTTTGACACTATAAAATTCTTTTCTATACAATAACTGTCTTTGTTTAAAGAATAATTTACAATAAGCCCTCAGTTTTTTCCTCAGGTCCAAAGATTATGGTAATATGCACCACAAACTTAATCAGATTGATTACACACAAAAAGTCTTACGCCTATATGAAGCACCAAACATTCTGACACTGATTTTCATTGAGTATCACTACAGTATGATTTTTCTCATGTTTTTAAAGAACACACATATTAAACTCAGAGTTTCGCTATAGGATGTCTTATTTTACATATTTGAAAATGATTGGGAAAAAGGATTCAGGACAGATTCCATTCACATATATTTCTCCAGTATGTGTTCTTTTATGCAATTGAAGATGATTGTGACATGCAAAGTCCTTACCACATTGATGGCATTCATAGGGTTTCTCTCCAGTATGTGTTCTTTTATGATTTTGAAGAGAACAGTTGTGAGCAAAGACCTTACATCATTGATTACATTCATAAGGTCTCTCACCAGTATGTGTTCTTTTATGCCTTTGAAGATGACTGTGACGTGCAAAGGCCTTACCACACTGATTACATTCATAGGGTTTCTCTCCAGTATGTATTCTTTTATGCATTTGAAGAGTACCACATTGAGCAAAGGCCTTACCACAGTGATGACATTCATAGGGTTTCTCTCCAGTATGTGCTCTTTTATGGTATTGAAGCTGACTATGACGTGCAAAGGCCTTGCCACACTGATTACATTCATAGGGTTTCTCTCCAGTGTGTGTTCTTTTATGCGTTTGAAGAGTACTATTTTCAACAAAGGCCTTACCACACTGATTACATTCATAGGGTTTCTCTCCAGTATGTGTTCTTTTATGCATTTGAAGTGTACCACGTTGAGCAAAGGCCTTACCACACTGATTACATTCATAGTGTTTCTCTCCAGTATGTGTTCTTTTATGCCTTTGAAGTGTACCACGTTGAGCAAAGGCCTTACCACACTGATTACATTCATAGGGTTTCTCTCCAGTGTGTGTTCTTTTATGCTGTCGTAGACTACTGTTGTCAGCAAAGGCCTTACCACACTGATTACATTGATAGGGTTTCTCTCCAGTATGTGTTCTTTTATGCATTTGAAGAGTACCACGTTGAGCAAAGGCCTTACCACACTGATTACATTCATAGGGTTTCTTTCCAGTATGTGCTCTTTTATGGTATTGAAGGTAACTATGACGTGAAAAGGCCTTACCACACTGATTACATTCATAGGGTTTCTCTCCAGTGTGTGTTCTTTTATGATTTTGAAGAGAACAGTTGTGAGCAAAGACCTTACCACACTGATTACATTCAAAGGGTTTCTCTCCAGTATGTGTTCTTTTATGCTTTTGAAGAGTACCACGTTGAGCAAAGGCCTTACCACACTGATTACATTCATAGGGTTTCTCTCCAGTATGTGTTCTTTTATGGTATTGAAGGTGACTGTGACGTGCAAAGGCCTTACCACACTGATTACATTCATAGGGTTTCTCTCCAGTATGTGTTCTTTTATGCTTTTGAAGATGACTGTGATCAGCAAAGGCCTTACCAAGCAGATTAAATTCATATGATTTTTCTTCATTATGTGTTCTTTTATGACTTTGATGAGTTTCATAAAGAACTAAGTCTTTATCATCTTGACTATATTCATAGGCTTTCTCTCCAGTGTGTGTTCTTTCATGCATTTGATGATGACTGTGATAATCAAAGGCTTTACCACATTGGTTAATTTCACAGCATTTTTCTCTGGTATGTGTTTTTTCATTCCTTAGAAGGTGAGTGTCATAAGACAAGGCTTTATCACAGTGAGAACATCCTGAAAATTTCTCTCCAATTTGATTTCTTTTAATCCTGCAAGGATAATTTACACATGTAAAAGCTTTACCACATTCAATATACTGTTGAACCTCAGATCTGTATGAATTAATTTCATAATTTGTTCCAATTATAAAAATGAATCAAATATTAATGTCTTATAACTTCATTTAAAATCATGTTTTCTTCTTTCATTAGGGGTCATTTTGCATCTGGAAAAATATTTGTGATAATAAATTCTATTGTGTCATGGTTTATCATTTCATCTATACTTGTCCCTATATTTTTTCTATGATATTTTTCATGTTTTTTAAGGAACTGCATACACTGTGTGCATTACGAACTTTACCGCATTTATAAATTTTACTATGAATCCTTATGCATTGGCTAAGTGAACTAAGACACCAAGAAGGATTGACAGACTTAGAACTCATGGGGCTTTTTTGTAATGTGAAGTTGTTTATGTATTAACAATGATGGTAGAAAACCAATTACTGTATACTTGGACTTAATTGAACAAGTATATTCTCCATGGGAACTACAGTTTATCTTCTAATTGTTCTTAATGAGACGTATGCTACATCTTTCCATATCCATATTCTCATATGCTTGTATCAAGAGTTAACATATGATATACATAGTCAAGGAAGAATAGTGAATAAAAGATTTCCACATTGAATCCTCATGGTTTGACTTGCTGTTCCTCATAGACTTGTGGTATAGATATGAAGGTTTCTCCACAACAACTGCCCCTTGACCCTTGACTCTAACTGCCACTTTCACTAAACTTAACAAGTCACAAAAAGTATATGAGTAATCCAAGTCTTACCATGAGCTATTGATTTAGGAGAAAGTTTGCAGCTACACTCATCACTGAAATGTGTATACAGTTTTTGTCATGAATAGCAAGAAAGAAATGGACTGACAGATCTACTACATAGCTCTCACGTTGCTATGATTCAAATGGTGATTTCTGTTTAGTCATTGCTTCCTTGACTTTTTCTTTAATGAATGCCTTGCAAATGCAATTCACATATGAGAAATTGAGGAATATGGATTTGTGAGAATTTAATAACCATCAATGCATTTAAAGCTGTGCTTATTTATGCTACTGCTTTTGATTCATTGTTCCAGGACATATTACAAACTCATCAGAGGCACATTTTTATAAACTTGCACAGGAAAATTACCTTGCAGGTCTTCTAGAACATTGACTATGTTCTTCAGTGTTACAGTCCTCCAAAATGTACCCTGAAATACAGTACCAGAATATGTATATTATATTATTTAATATTGTACAACAATTAGCTCATTATCTTAAGTGCACCTAACAACTATGATTGTGTTATTCATCTCATTTTCTTCTTTCTAAATCAAATTACAGAACAACATTATAAGACAAGGAAAGGTTGTCTCCATATTTTGAAACATGAAGGAAATTCATTTTTACCTATAGTAGTGAGGTTCCTGAAGGTCTCCAGCATCACATCTTTGTAGAGATTCTTCTGGAAAGGATTCAGCAAATCCCACTCTTCCTGAGTGAAGTTGATATGCACATCATCATAGGTCACTGCCTTCAAAAATATACCACACATGTATACAATGTAAGCATGACAGTGACATCATTGGAAATGCATACTTCTTTGACAGTACCGTTGTATGATTCTGGTGCTCCCCATTCTTATTCTCTGATATAGTCAGTTACTTTAGAAATAAATTGAAAAGGAGAGTCAATTCTGTCATTTCTATACACTTTGAATGGGATTTCACCTTATAAGAACAATATCTATTAACAGGGTGAGATGAGAAAAAAGATCAACAGTAAATTGTATGCATGAGAAAAATTGTATGAAAAATTCCTCATCATAGAAAGGAAAAAAGATACACAAATGGGTGTATTGGTGTATTGTGCCTTTGACCACAACACTCAGAAAACAGAGGTGGGTATATTTGTCTCTGAGTTAAATGTCATGCAAGTCAATATAATCAGGTCCAGGAGAGGTGGCAGTACACATTAAGACTCTGTCTCCATTGCAAACCTCAATAACACAAACAATGGGATAGAAAAACTAACAGGCTTTTATTGAAGTTTCTACAAAGAGTTGTTTTCACTCCAGTTCTGTAGTCTTCTTCCAGACCCTGAAGTATCCTAATATAAACTGCAATACCAATAACATTTTGAACAAAAAGAACTTCCTGTATAAAACAGTTAAAAGTGGACAGATGAAAACAGTAGAAATATAAATGTTGGTCATAAATAATCAACACAGACCTGGAGAGAGGGCAGATTAAGTCAGCACTCTTGCTGATTTTGAATGGAGATGGACAAATTTGCCTGTACTTGCATGGGGATTATAACTATCCATTTTCCAGAGTAAGGATTTCTGATATCCTTTGATCACTTTCATGGTACATATCCATGCAGGCATATAAAACAGTCATATTGATTTAAAAAAATCAAAGCAAGTATAACAAGCAAGATGTGTTGCGGGAGGTCCTCCCACTCCTTCAGCCTATAGCCGCTGAGACACCAGCCCATTGGGGCATGGTCTCTCCCTTTAAAAAAGTGGCCACTTCCCTCTCCTAGTTCTCTTCACTTCCTAGACTCCCTTCCTGGTTGCGCAGAGGGCTGTAGTCTGGGATGGTGATCTGTAAGTTTTTTCCCCTTTAAATAAATACCACCCTATCAATCATAACCAAATTGGTGTGGCATTGTTTGTGACTTACACCTTCAGTTGGCACTCAAAGTTTGGTGTTAGGACCCCTCCTTCCCCCTCTCGGCTGCCGGCCTCGAGTTCAGCTTGGCGTGAGCCTCCCTTCCTCGGCGGCGACCTTGTGGTGGCCTTGTGGCCTGTGTCTTGTGCGTGGAGCCAGCAGCTTAACATAAATCATCACGCACTGGCTTTTCTTGCTGCAGTTCTTTATATTTTCCCTTTGGACACCACAGATTGACTTCCAGTCCCCATGCACCCTATCATCTGCCTCCCCACGTGGAATTAAACTCAACAGGCCTGCGTAGTCTCTGCCAGCGTGGTTTGCTCTTTTCTGAGTCATTTTTAAATCTCCCTTGCAAGCACAGCTCTTACGTGGTGCAAACCAGAGCACGCAGTTGCCAGTTGCTGAAAGCTGCAACCCCTCAGGGTGTATCTGTCATGTGGAGGCATAAGCGCCCCCTCTCCCAGTAAAGTTTGCCCTTGGGTTTAGGGACATCATTTAGGGGTTGATTATAATTAGTATACGATTGAGGGTTGGGGGAGGAATTTTATAAGCTCAGGGATCATTTTCAAAAAAAAAAAAGAGGGATGATAGGATAATAGATTTGTAATTGTGAGTTACTGTTTTTAGACAAATATATTGGTATAGATTCTTGTATATTGATACAAAGTTAAATTATATTGACTATTGTATGCATGCATGTTTCTACCTCTGTTTAAAACATTTTTTATGTATTGACATATTGTATTGATATATATATATATAGTATATATTTACCATATTGCAGTGTACATTTCTACCTCTGATTAAGATACTTATATAATGTTTGTGTATTGATATATATTTACCTACTGCAATGTATATTTGTACATTGTTTATATTTGGAGGTCATTGTCCTCATTTGTTTCACAGTCGTTTATTTTCTTAGTCTTTAAGTTAGATAGATATTGAGAATTATATAAATTAATAGTCATCTAAGTTTGTCATTTATAATTAGACAAATCAGGTTCTTTAGATATATAGAGATTATACTCAATATAGATAGATAATCTTCAACTTCTTCAATGAGCTGTAGAAAATGGCCTTTAATCTAACTCAGAGTTTTGTGGTAGTGGGACACAATTTCTCCTGGCAACACCGCTCTATTCCTGAGAGAATGTTGAGCACCAAAGACACTCCACCTGGAGCCTTTCTTTTTGGCAGAACTGGCCTTTGGGCAAAGAAATGCCCATACCTCAACCACTGACAGAGATACAGAGCATGCATCAATGGATAAAACAGGACTGTCGTATCCTGCCAAGACAGGGTAAGATAGTTTTGAAAAGTCGCTTGCCTTTAAAAATGGTATGTCAGTTATGTTAGGCCTTAGGCAAAGTTGGTCGCTTCAATGCTGCTAACATGACTTTGGGTGATTGCCCAGGTAGCTAGTTGTCTCTGTGATTTGTTGCATGTTTTGGAAGTTGTTTTACTGAACTTCCTAATTACCCATGTAACATTATTTCCCTTCTCAGATCTTTGATGGGGTTGAAGACTATATAAATGTAGTTACTTTCTCTCATGACTTGGCCAAGTTATTTATAAGACCTAAGCTCGTTAGAATAGGATATTTGTACTTATTGTATACAATTTCATAGGAGGTTTAAAACTCTCTTATTTAAACAAAAGGGGGAAGTGTTGCGGGAGGTCCTCCCGCTCCTCCAGCCTATAGCCGCTGAGATATCAGCCCATTGGGGCGTGGTCTTTCTCCCTTTAAAAAAGCAGCCACTTCCCTCTCCTTGCTCTCTTCACTTCCTGCCTTCCTGGTTGCGCAGAGGGCTGTTGTCTGGGATGGTGATCTGTAAGTTTTTACCCCTTTAAATAAATACCAACCTATTAATCATAATTCCAAACTGGTGTGGCATTGTTTGTGACTTATGCCTTCAAAGATGTTCATACAACTGTAATTTAATGACTCAAAATACTCAGGCAGTAGGGGCTGGAGAGATGGCTCAGTGGTTAAGAGCATTGCCTGCACTTCCAGGGGTCCTGAGTTCAATTCCCAGCAACCACATGGTGGCTCACAACCATCTGTAAAGAGGTCTGGCGCCCTCTTCTGGCCTTCAGGCATACAGACAGAATATTGTATACATAATAAATAAATAAATATTAAAAAAAAAATACTCAGGCAGTATAAACGCTATCAATCCATGGGATGGCATCCTGCGAATCAGAGAGATACCCTCTATCAAATTTTAAAATTCAAGATAAGCATGAAGCTCAGCACAGCAGCATATACTTGACATAAAAAAATACGTGCATTCCAGGGCCATCATCCAATAACATAACAACAAATAGAGCCAGGAATGATGCCTCCCTTAACTTTCAGGAATTTAGAGCCACACAATGACTCAGATAAGCAAACAAAACAATTAAAACAGCAGGTTACCAAACTCTTGAGCACTGAATAACAACTGTTTCTGCTATATCTTATGTGATTTAGAGATTGTGCCTATAATGATGGTAAATGCATTTCAGTATAAATAGGAATTTGGCTGATTAATGTCAAGACCGACACAGTAGATATAAATGTCAGGAAATTACTTTAGGGTATTGAAACTCATAGCATACAATGAGGAATTTCATCTAGAAAGGCTTCTCCTACTAAGGATCCACAGAAAATTGAAATAAAACCAATAAGGAGAGAAAGTTCTTCAAATACATGATATTTTCTGGTGGGTTGTTTATTTAATCAAGTACATTCTGAACCCAGTCACTATTGGTCCATGGTCAACAAATGAAAGAAATCATCTCATCACTTAAAAGATTCACATTTAATGATCCTTAAAGAAGGACTCTTAGAAGAAGTGAAATACTAGCTCAGAATTGAGAAATAGATGTTTATTTATTAGGGATAGACTCACAAATCAGAATCCTATGCTCGAACTGAGATCAGAAACCGAATCATGCAGCCATGAAGAGGCTGGACTCATGCTCTATACTGGTATATATAATATAAGAGGCCATGCCTTAGTGGTCAGGAAACCACTGGCTGTAAGATTTCCTACAGCACCTTCTCCTTTTGTTTAAATAAGAGAGTTCTAAGCCCAATACACAATTCTTTACTATAAATAAGAATAATATATTCATTAATTATCCTATCCTAAATAGTTTTTGTCTTGTATAATAACTTGGCCAAATCATGAGAGGAAAGGAACTTCAACTATCTAGTCTTCAACCCCATCGAAGATCCAAGAAGGGAAATAATATTACTTGAGTAAGCAGGAAGTGCAATCAAGCAACTTTCAAAATGTGTAACAAATTACAGAGACAACTGGCTCCCTGGGCAATCATCCAAAGTCTCATTTGCAATGTTGAAGCAACCCACTTTGGCAAAGACCTAGAATAAGGGACCGACCACTTAAAGAGGTAGGAAAAATTTTAAAAACTATCTTATCCTATCTTGGCTAGATTTAACAATCCTGCTTATCCATTTTTGGATATCATTTATCTTGTCAGTAGTTGAGACACGAACATGTCTTTGCCTAAAGGCCAGTTTTGCCAAGAAGAAAACAAGCTCCAAGTGAAGTGACCAGTGTTCAACATTCTCTCGGAAATAGAATGATGCTACTAGGAGCAATTGTGACTCACTTAAACATGACTCAAAGTTATTTAAATGCCATAATCTACAGCTCTTTGAAGTGGTTGAAGATTACCTATATATGAAGTATATAATCTCTACGTATCTAAAGAACCTGATTATTCCAACTATAAAAACAATAAATGACTATTG